CGTTTAACTGCAGGACTCTCTTTAGTCTGTTACAGAGGGCTTTCTATGCCCTTTTGCTGTCTCCTGTGTGGTCCTGTTGTGCTAGTTGTCTAGCCCTCTTTACCTTGTTAAGTATTGTGGCTGCTTTAGGTAACTAATCAGGCCTTGCTCTGTCGCAGGTCTTCTTTGTAGGGTAGTGTTTTGTCAGTGCCTCCTTAACTTATTTAATAAGGCCTATAATAGCCTCTCCTCCTGTTGCCTAGGTCTAGTTGCCTTAGTTCACAGTATCTTTAATCCTGTCCTAGTTAGCCTTTGCAAGGGCGAACTGCTTGTTTTCCTTCCTAGCTATAGGGCTTGTGTCTATCTAGATCTTAATTAGGACGTAGTCCCTTATAATAGCCTAGTTCTCTCTTAGTTAGTAGGTTGTGACTCTGTCTGCTACAACCCTTATAGCAAACCCTAGGTCTATAACTAATTAGAGGGGTCCTCTTCTCTAGGTTAGTACCCCTAGTTTGTTTAGGAGCTAGAACCCCTAACTAGCTATGTTAGCACAGAGCTGTTCTGCCTGCGGTTCTCCTAGTGTATTCCTCCCTAACTATTCTAGGTGGTGGGCGTTAAAGTCTCTAATAATTAGTGTTGCAGCGTTAGGCAGAGCGTCCTGGATGGCGTTCCTGATTGCCAGCTATGCTTCAATAGTGTGTGTGGCTTCCTGGCCTAGTATTACAGGCAGGCTGTAAACATTAATAATGTAGGTCTACTAGCCTTACGTGCAGACTTAGATTCCCTTAGTAAGGTTAGTAGCTAACGTGCTCTTAATTTTAGTAAGTAGTATTTAGTTGTATATAAGGAATACCACCTTCATCCCCTGGCGTAGGGGGCGGCTTAGTCGGTAGTTCTTGGGGCAGTATGTGTGCCCACCCGTTGAGCTTCCAATCATGGGTTCCTGGATTGCAATGACCGGGAACGACGCTACAAACCTATATATACTATTCCCTTACACAGAAAAAACTTGTAAATTACTAGAGCAGCCTAACTGCCCTCGTCCTATATAGTCTTAGACTCACACAGGACGTTAAACTAATCAATCAATCTTAGTCTCTAAGAATAGATAGACTAACAATGTGCTTAGTCTTAAGTAGTTAAAGCATTTTAACGCATATATAAGAGCGCGTTAGAGGGGGTTGTACAGGCTACTTATCTTAGACAGCTATAAGAGCTACCTTAACTAGGAATTTAAGGACTACTGCTAGGAGAACAGAATCCTTACTCTCTATAACGTGTTTCACAAGCGAGCGCCGCACCCAACTGAGCGCCGCACTTTCAACAACAGAACGCCTGCGCAGCGCTATATCACAACACAACACAAATAAATAATTGTTTGCAGGCCTAGATAGTATTATTTAGAAGTGTTACTAT